ACCTTGTTTGGGCCACTGTTGGGCCGTTTTATTTGATTTTGGGGCTTGTAAAAATGTAAATAAAGTTAATAATATTATATATATAATTATACAATATAGTTTGTAATATTATATAATAATATAATAATATTAATAACAAAAGACGAATTTGAGTGTCTTCAAAAATAAAAATATATATATTTCATGATATTTAAGACCTTCAATTTTTTTTTCAAAAAAAAATTAGTGTAACTCTTGATTTTTTTTGGCACTCAATGTGACCTTTAAACTAAGAAAATAATATTTAATCTTTTGACCAACAACATCAAACTGTCACCACGTTTACGTGATAATTCACAAAGCTTACATGGTATTCTACAATGTTAACGTGACAGTTCACGATATTGTTGTGGCAATATATGATGGATGATGGTGTAATAGATGGATTTAATTGATTTTTTACTAAGTTAAAGATACTAATTGATTTTTTTAAGAAAGTTTGATGACTTATTTAATTTTAAAAATTAATGTATTAATTAAGTTTAAAATATAAATAATTATTAAGATATTCAATACATTAAATATAAAAATACTACAAAATTAGATCATTAAAAAAAATCACTTTAAGGATGACATTGAATGTAAAAAACATTAAGGGATCATATTAATTTTTTTGTAAAAGTTTGAGGGTTTTAGATACCATTAAATCAACAAGTTGTTGTTAGAATAATTTGAACTTGTGTAAGTTAAGTTAAAAAACTAGATTTCAGGTTTTCCTATTTTTTAAAATTTTAAAACATATTTTAATGAATATATTCCAAACATATTAATTTTTCATAAAATCGTTTTCCAATTCTATCACTAAACAAGTTTTCTTCAATGTTTTTTAAGAAAATAAAAATAAAAAATAACTAATATTTTTTAGAACCAAACCAAGACTTAAAAATTCTTAATTTTTCCATTTTTTTTAATTTTAAGTTTTAAAAGATCTTCAAATTACTAAAATCCTCTAAATAATTAGACATTTAGGTAACATAATTTATAAATTTGATTCAAAGCAGTATTGACTTTCGAATTAATAGAGGTAAGTGATGGTAACAAGATAAGATCTATAAAAAAACACAATAAAACACGGGTGAAGACATATAAGATTATTCAGTGATGGAGCCATAACTCGTGAAAGTAGACATATATCTATTATAAATTTCGAATTTTCTTCAATTATTTATTTATTTTAGTGATGATATCTATCCTGAAATTTTTTATGCTCACCCTAAAATTTAAGTTTTCTTTTATTAGTTACTTATTTTACGGATGATGCTCACCCTGAAATTTTATTTGTACTCATTCCATTTTAAAATTTTATGTTGTTAACATACGTGTGTCTATCCTAAAAAATATTTCTGGATCCACTATTATATTATTTCCGTAGAAAGAAAATGACAAATGAGTACCAGACATATGATCATAACTCATAAAAACAATGAAGATGAAGTTCAATAAAGAAGAGGGTGCATTGATAATCAATTTGAAGATTGAATGAATGATTTTCGTTTTAACAATGAATTTTATCCTACTACGCTAAATGAATGAATGATATTAACAAAAAGAAGAAAAATAATTAATTAATTAATTAATAGTAAAGTCTAATTATAATTTTTTAATAAAAAGTCTTTTTAATAAAGAATTGAATTACGTGTCATGCATTCTAAAAATGATAATTAGAACAAAACTTCCGTTTTAATAAGAAATTAAACAGAAAAGAACTAAACACACTATGTTTTTTCAATTGAACCTAAAGGAAAAGGGAAAAATGAAAAATGAGAGTTGAAGTAAACAGTAGGTTCTTATATTGATAGCGATCAATCAAATTCATCGGCTGCCTGCCCTAAATCCCGAGAGTGTTGCACAAAACCCAAACTAAACAGACAGAGATTGAAACATGCCACGGCGATCATCAGGGACAACGATGAGGGCATGTCTAGTGATATTTGCACTAGTTTCAGCATTGGGAGTATGTGGACCTGCTCTTTATTCCAGGTTCAACACGACTCTCACATTCCTTGATTCCAAATCCTCTTGTCCTCCTTGCATCTGTGATTGCCCCCCTCCTCTTTCCCTTCTCAAGATTGCCCCTGGTAGGTATTCTTGCCTTTTCGATTATTATTATTATTGTTAATCAAATTTCTTTCCTTTTCTGATTCTGGGTTCTCCTCAGAATTTGATTTGGATAATTTAAGCTATGCCCATTTGTTGGATTTGAGGTTTTGATCTGCTTTCGTTGCTACTTTTGAGCTCTGGAAATATCGTGTTCAGTAGCTTTTACGGAAGTTGCGATTGTATTTGCCACTTTCATTCTATGTCAAAATTCCTGTTATTTTTTATTTGAGATTTTGATCTGTTGCTGCTGCTGCTAATCTTGAAGGCATCAGTTCTATTGGATACATGCAACTGATGTAACAAACTAAGACTAAATTTGAATTTCAATTCAGATTTGTGCTTGTTTAATCATATGTTCAGTCGAGGAATTTAAAAGAACTTGTTTTTTTGTTGTCATCGGGAACTAATTACAGAACCCCTCTGCTCTGTCTCAGCTTTGTATCCCTCCCTTCTTCCCCCATGTGATAACCTTTCTGGATTTAGGCTATAAGATTTCACAGTCTTAAAGAACCATTATCTCTTTTTCCTAGTGACTTTGATCTTCTTCACTCTAGGAAAGTAGGTATAAAACACTTTATTGGGCTTTTCTTCGAGGGGACGACTGTTGTGATTTCACAGTATTTCACACTTTGTCTAGCTGTGTTATCGAGTCTGTGTAGAATGAAACAGGATAACATATATTTTTTGTGAATGATGTAAATTGATTATAATTCAGCTAATTTCTTTGATTATTTGTGGTGCTTTTGCACCATCGATCTTGCTTGTTAAATCAAGCATCCATCATATTAATAAATCTGGCGTTGATCATGAAACAGTACTTTTATTCCGGTTGCTTGTACTCTTCATAAACTACGTTGATACAAAATAACAAGCACAGAGTGAAAACTGTCAAACTTCTATACATTACATGAACTTATATTTTTTCCTTCTTTCGCACCTGATGTTCTGCATCCAGACATTACCTTGTAGATGTGAGCAGAATCTGCTGCTCATTGCGCTCTTGGTTTCGATATTTCTTGTGGGTCCTGCTAGTAATCATTGTAGTGATTGTAATTTTTTTGTAAAATGTTTTCATGCGTCTTGTCCTCTAAACTTTTTGTTATCTCTGTGAATTACTCACATGGTTTTTGTGCTTTTGTTGTTCTTTTGCAGGGTTGCCCAATCTCTCTGTCACAGGTTAGAGTTTATTCTTTCAACTCAAATCAATTGGTGTTCAAGACCTATGCTTTATACTGGTCATTTTATATATATATATATATATCAAACCATTTCCCTCCCTACTTCCTATCGGTAACAATTATGTATTCAAAGATATGATTAATGGTGATACAGATTGTGGAAGCAATGACCCTGATCTGAAGCAAGAGATGGAGAAGCGATTTGTGGATCTTCTGACTGAAGAGTTGAAGTTGCAGGAGGCCGTCGCCAAAGAGCATGCTCACCGTATGAACATCACCTTTGGTGAAGCAAAAAGATTGGCTTCCCAGTATCAAAGGGAGGCAGAAAAGTGCATTGATGCCACAGAAACCTGTGAGGGAGCCAGAGAATGGGCCGAGGCGTTGCTGATAAAGGAGAGGAAAATTACGACGATATGGGAACAAAGAGCTCGACAAATGGGTTGGGAAGGTGAATGACTGTTTATATAAATCATTTGAATATCCTAGACTCTAGAATTCAAAGCTTCCCTTCACCCACCGCGATATTTTTCGAAGCAGGCAAGCGAAATTGCTTGAACCTCGAGTAGTCTTGTCAGGGAAAAATGCCCCCCACTCACCCTTCCTCCATTTGTAATTGCCTTAACTCCTTTTATAAGTATCTAAACAATTTTCACCTCTAATTTTTTAATACTAGAGTGTGCAATTTCTTCACTTGAAGCAAAAATTATAGAACATGTTCTATTCTCTTTTTTGTGCAAAATTAAGTTTAAAAGTACTTTACTGTACTAAAGTTTGGTTAGTTTTATAAATGTCTTCGCACAAAATCCTGAAGTCCAACAGTGTTTACTGTAACACTAGGACTGCCATATTCAATAGTTTCCCAGCAAACAAAACTTGCAGTAAATAAAGGGATCAACCCAAGGATTTTGGGTCACGGTCGCATCTGTTAGAAATTTTAATATTAATTTAAATATTTTTCTTGTATTTTCTATTGTTGATATAATTTTACGTCTCTAAAATTTTGTAATTTTGTATCTATCATTTTTAATATAATGCTTTAAGTTCGCATTATCTAGTATAAAATCTTGCGTTGTCCTGAAGTGAACACCCACTGCCCTAAAAATATAATCCTTTTTCCCACTTCTATCTTGAAAGGCATCCACCGACACCAGAGGAGATGCTTTTGAACATTAGAAAATTGAAATGTCTCAATTTCTTCATCAATATAATGAATTTTACCCAAAAATATAGTATTTGACAAGGTTGAATTTTACCTCCAATGGTATGATTCTACGTATCAGAACAAATGGAGTAAAGAAAGGAGTATGGATTCTGTCAAAATCTGGAGCATTTTATCATTTTCTGACCCTCCAAACAAACAAAATAATCATGGCAGATCAACCATTGACTTGAACGAAAGACAAAGAAGCACATGCGTGGCATTTGAGTTAAAAAGACAATGGGATGCCCAACAAACGCGGTTTCAAAACTTTTCCACGTTCATGCATCCAGTCGCAATACACAGCAGTGTTCTTCTTCAATTATATTTTCATTATAAAAAACCCTTTCATTTCATTATAATATTCATCACTAGACATAGCTACAATTAAATATTACAAATCCAGATCTACCCAAATAACATTGTCCCATTACCGATCTTCCTGGGTTTTTTTTTGCACCGTCAAGATCTATAATAATTGTGATTAACTTTCTTTTTAAATAATAAAATTGGGTCTTATCTTTGGACCTTGGTTTAGGAACCTCAAAAAAGTTTCCTCTTTGAATCTTCTTGGGATATTTAGAATTATCTTGGGTTCTTTTCTTTTTCTTAATGGAAAACTCAAGGAACAAGCGAGGGCATGAGGAAGGTATTGAAGATGAAGGCTATCTTACTGAAACGAAGAAACCAAAGTTACCCGCTTTGGCAAGGTACTTGTTCAAGTTGATGGCTGCTTTTTCTCTTACTTAGATGCTAATTTCTAAGTTTTGATTTTTCATTAAGTGCATGTTGGTGAATTGGTGGATTAGTAGGTGTTTGTTAGAGTTTCTAAGCGATCAAATATGATCGATATGCATGAGTTCTTGAATTATTTTCGTTGACTTTATGCATATCAACTGTTTACTTGAATGTTTGAAGTTTAAACGTGATATTTATCAGATATAATAATAAAAAAACTTGTACAAAAAACTTGACCTTTTGATTCAGCAACTTCAATAGATCACAAAGCTAAGGAGATGGCTATGTCAAGAATGGTAATTATATATATTTGAGTTGCAAAACCAGTGACTTGTGAATGCAATGTGTTCATTCTCGTCCCGCAGAAAACATAGGGCAAAATCTTTAGGATTGATTTAGGTTTTGCCAATTATTGATTTTTTTTATAGGTTTCTTTAATTTCACAGTTCAATATCATGTAAATGAACAGCTTCTGTTGAATGTAATTAACTCGCTTAACATGGTTTATATAAACATATGCGACCTGCAAGTCCATTGCTGTTGATATATGAGTTGATAGTGTCCATATATGTATGCTTATGCAGTGTAATTGTGGAAGCTCTGAAGGTGGATAGTATGCAAAGACTTTGCTCATCTTTGGAACCTATGTTACGCAGAATTGTGAGTCAAATCTTTCTTTCATAGTTTTGTGACTTTGTCTCTGTTCTCAAGAAGAAAATTGGAGAAAAAACTTTTGTTGCTTTCAACTTTTCTTTTTCTCGACACATATTGAACATAAGTATCTGGTTATCGTTCTCAATAAATATGAGTAAACTTAGACAAAGTTAAGAAAACCCGTATTTGACACTGACCTCCGAGTCCGAATAACATTGGAGAATCCAGTTCTGAGCAACCATGGCTGCAGCTTTTGTAGAATTCTTGATAATAAGCTCTATTTTTTTTATAATTTTACTATATTATATATTTAGTGCCGACTTTATAGGGCTTTATAGGTCCCCAAAAGGCAGAAATTAGGTTAATATGATCTATTTTTACCAAAGCATTTATTACCTCAAGAGTTTGAATTCTGTATTCTTCTGTAAATATAGTCCAAAAACTGTGTTAATGGCAATTAGGTTGGAGCAACCGTGAGAAGTTAAAGTTATGCTCTATATATCATAGACATTCATTTGATTTGTCACATTGGCTGGTTTCTTGATGATATATATATATATATATATATACATACATATCTGCTTTCAAATGTGTTCTATCATTAGTAATCTTCCACTGATTCTACATTTTGAATGAATTACACAGGTCAGTGAAGAAGTGGAGCGGGCTTTGACAAGAATAGGGAATGGTCAACTGACTGCGAGGTTTGCTCTTCTACACCCAACATTTGGACGTTTTACTATAATTTTCTCTTTTATTCTCTTTCATATACATCATGTTCATAAAAAGGTAGCGGTACTCTTTGTTTTTCCGGAAATATCCATGTTCAAATATGGAAGAGTGCGATCTTTCAAATATTTTGAAATGTTTTTCTTCAAAAAAGGCATTCTATATAAGATCTGACACTCAGGTCTGTAAGCTGATTCTGATAACAACATTTATCATGTGACAGGAGTTCACCACCGAGACTACAAAATGCAGATGGAAGAAATCTGCAGCTTCATTTCAGAACAAGAATGCCACCTCACCTATTCACAGGAGGGAAGGTTGAGGGTGAGCAAGGGACTTCCATCCATGTCATCTTACTTGATGTGATCTCAGGGACTGTGGTTCAAACCGGATTAGAATCATCACTCAAACTCAATGTTGTGGTGCTTGAAGGTGACTTCAATGAGGAAGCTGATGAAGATTGGACTAAAGAACAGTTTGAGAGCTATGAAGTTAAAGAACGCGAGGGGAAACGGCCGCTTTTGACCGGGGAACTACAAGTGACCCTCAAGGAAGGAGTTGGAACTCTAGGAGATCTTACTTTCACTGATAATTCGAGCTGGATTAGGAGTAGAAAATTCAGGCTCGGTTTGAAGGTTGCTCCCGGATATTACGAAGAAATTCGTGTTCGAGAAGCTAAAACCGAGGCTTTTGCTGTTAAAGATCACAGAGGAGAATGTGAGCTTCCAACTACAAATAACTTTATGCAGCTTCTGCATTTGGCTTGAATCCTTCTGCAGTTGTTTTTATTGTTTGCTTGCATTATTGTTTACTTGCAGTGTACAAAAAACATTATCCACCTGCTTTGCATGATGAAGTTTGGAGATTGGACAGAATAGCCAAAGACGGAGCATTACATAAGAAGTTGTTGAAAGCTGATATCATAACAGTTGAAGATTTCCTTCGACTTCTTGTTCGGGATTCGCAAAAATTACGAAATGTAAGTGATATCCCTTTCAACCAGATCTCTCTTATCCGTTCTGGAGCATCATCAGATAGCCCCGTTTTGACCCCTACATTCTTTGATATCCTGATGTAGATCCTGGGAAGTGGAATGTCAAATAGAATGTGGGAGAACACAGTGGAGCATGCTAAGACCTGTGTCCTGGGAGGGAAGCTTTATGTTTACTACACTGATCAAACACACAGCGCAGGTGTTGTTTTCAATCACATTTATGAACTCAGAGGTCTTATTGCTGATGGGCAGTTCCTGTCTTTGGAATCACTTAACCACAATCAAAAGGTTAGATTTTCTTCTGTTTGCAGTCGCTGCAGAAACGAGAAAACCGGAAAATAAACTCCCCCAACAAGAATAATATGACTAATTGACATGGAATTTTGCCTGCAGCTTTTTGTTGATTCCCTGGTGAAGAGAGCGTATGAAAATTGGCATCAAGTTATAGAATACGACGACAAGGTTCTCAAAACCCTTGCAAGTACAAAGGGAGCCAACCCGTCGACAGCACCAGTAATCGAGAACAATTACAATGCAGATTACTACACTACAAATTCTCAGAAGGGTAGGCAGCAGTATATAACCTCAGAGCAAGCTCCACAGTGCCAGAATAATAATAATACCCACCAAGCAGTCCATCAGTTGATTGAATTTCCCTTTGGAAGGTCTGATCAGAATGCAGTAATGATGATGAATAATCAGAAAGCACTGTTACCTAGCATTACCACAAATAACATGCCGATTGGAGGAAACCTGACAGCAGCCGGTGGGTCAGGTTTTGCAGGAGATTGGTCTCAGCCGAGAAGCGGGCACGGATTTGAAGATTTCTTTGCTGATGAAATCCGGCTTAGGAGTACGGAAATGTTAGCGACTGATGACATGCAAAGGCTGCTGAAGACTTTTGGTGTAGGTGTTGGCATGGGAGCTAGTTTTGATCATTCAGACGAGTCTTCTTATACATACACCATCCCTTATGATCATCAAATGGACCACCCTTATCCTTATGCTCAGGAACGTGGCAAAGGATCGGGGAAGGCGGTTGTCGGGTGGCTTAAGTTGAAAGCGGCTTTAAGGTGGGGAATATTCGTACGAAAGAGAGCTGCAGAAAGAAGAGCTCAGCTGGTTGAGCTTGATTGACTCATCTGATGCTTAAAAAGACTTATTTTAACATCATTATCTTTTAGCTGGTTAACAAATGATTGGTGCCTCAACGATCATTAACCTTCGTTGGCAACATTGTTGAATGATTCCGAGTTCCGTTATCTTTGCCAGTATTTGATAGGGCATTATTCATCAGAGAGCTGATTATGACAAGTCAAAATTTCTGTATATGAAATGTGATTCTCTTTGCTCCAGATGTGTACTATTGTCATATGCGTTTAACACTTGATAATAGTTTGATTCGTTTTATTCTTAGATAATGTGACGCAACTTTATTTTTGTAATGACTCAGCTTATCCAAAGATGATCCATAAGGGGGCTGATGCTTCCATTTATTTCAAGCAGAAAGAAATGGATCAACAGAAAATAAACTACATAAAAAGAGGATACATATTCATGCCTTTTCACCGTCTTTTATCTGAGGATTGTAGCAACGGCTTTTTGGGTGGTCTCAGAACCAGGTTCACGTCTTGACTTGAATTGTATGATGGAGTGTCCCCGACCTTTCTAAATAAGGTAAAGTCGGATACCTTAAATTATCATTTTACCGATTTGCATTTTACCAGAAAATTGTTAGGTTAGAGAATTGATTACAAACGAGAAAAGATGAGCACCCTCGTATTGCCCTTTTGATACCAACACGATTATCAGTTGTCTTAATCGCGAAATTTAAAATTTAGGCAAAAACTTAAAAGATCGATCCGAGTTTCTTGCCTTTGAAGGAATTTCGAGATTAAAGAGTTCCTTAAAAAATTTAAATTAATATTTAATTTAAAGAAATAAAGTTTTACATAAAAGAATCAGTGCACCAATTTTACTAAAAAATTAAATTAAAAGGAACCAGTAAATTAAACAATTCATCATGGGTCAAATTGTATTAAAATTAAACCTTAGGGGGTAAAATTAGAAATTAAGGGACTAGATTGAACTATTGGGAAACTAGGGGTTAAAGAAAAATGATTTACCCCAAAACCCGTGTTACCTCACTTACAAAAACCCAGACTTTATTTTTTAAGAGTAAAGTATATAAATAATCTCCAAACTTTTAGATATATTACATTATGATCATCTAACTTTTTAAAATTTACAACATAAACATCAAACTTTTATTCGGTAAGGTCTCTACTGTCATCTTTTGTTAATTAAGGCTGACGTGGCATTTTACCTCCGTCAACTCTTCTTCTTTTCTTCAACAAAAAGTTAATCAAATTCAAAAACTCAAGCAATATATATAGTGAGCAAAAAAACAGTAGTTACAAACCCATCGTCTTCTTCGATTTGCTCCACACGTTTTTCGATACCCCAGCTTACGTGGCGCCGGAAGTTTCAGGTCGGAAAGGATACGACGAGGCCAAAGTCGATATCTGGTCCTGTGGGGTAATTTTATTTGTTTTAATGGCGGGTTATTTACCATTCAACGATCACAACGTCATGGTCATGTATAAGAAAATTTACAGAGGCGAGTTCAAGTGTCTGAGATAGTTTCATCTGAGTTAGTCCGGCTACTCATGAAACTACTCGATACTAACCCGGAAACCCGTATAACAATCCTAGAAATCATGAAGAATCGTTGGCTTAGAAAGGGTTTTAAACACATCAAATTCTACGTTGAAGATGATAAATTTTTTAGCGTTGAAGAAACCGACGATGACATCGGAGCATATTCAACAGACCATTCATCGATGTCCGAGTCCAAAACTGAGGTCGAAACCAGGCTGAGAATCGGTCCATTGCTGAGGCCGGTGAGTTTAAACGCATTCGATATCATTTAATTCTCCCTGGGTTTCAATTTATCCGGGTTGTTCAAGGAAGGAGGTGAAGGTTCAAGGTTCGTGACCGGTGCTCCAGTATGGAAGATTATATTGAAACTGGAAGAGATAGAGAAGGTGGTATGTTTTACGGTGAGAAATAAGGATTATAGATTGAGTTTGGAGGGTTCAAGAGAAGGTGTTAAAGGGACATTGCTGATCGCGGCTGAGATATTCGAGTTAACATCATCATCAATTGTCATCGAAGAAGACGATGGGTTTGTGATCTACAATGTTTTTGCTCACTATATTATGTATAAATTGCTTGAGTTTTTGTATTTGATTAAATTTTTGTTGAAGAAGATGAGTTGATGAAGGTGAGTTGACGGAGGTAATGTGCCATGTCATCCCTAACTAACGAAAGGTAAGGATAGGAGTTTTACTGAAAAACGAACTAAAAGTTTAAAAGTTTAAAAGTTTAATGACTCTATTGCAATATTTAAAAGTTGAATGATCAAAATGCAAGTAGCCTAAACATTGGGTTAGATTGATGTACCTATTCATAATACAAAATAATATAAAATAAAAATACATGTAAATAAAAAATAATATTCTTGGACAAATAAATTTGAAAAAAAAAGTGTAAGTAAAAGTAGTAAAACATGTAGTAGATGATGTAAGTGTGTAAGAAAGTACCAAAACAAATAGTGGAGAATTTTTTGGAAGTGTTAAAAATAATTGAAAAATGAATTTAAAAATTAAAATATTAAAAAAATTCACAATCAAAGTAAGAAGCAAAGATGGCAACTGGAGGAAGCATAGTTTCAAAGTGTAAGTAAAAGTAGTAAAGCATGTAGTAGATGATGTAGGTGTGTAAGAAAGTACTAAAGCAAATAGTAGAGAATTTGTTTGGAAGTGTTAAAAATAATTGAAAAAAATGAATTTAAAAATCAAAATATTTTTAAAAAAATCCACAACCAAAGTAAGAAGTAAAAAAGACAATGGGAGGAAGCAAAGAAACTTTAGTGTCAAAGTGTAAACCTTTCATCTTCATCTTCTCCACATTTTCAAGAGATAAGTTCTTCAAAAAAAATTATTTTTTTCTCCACCATTTTAAGAGATCAATTTCCCCCCTTTTATTCTAACTTCAAGTCTTGTTCGTGGTTCATCTTAACACAACATTGAAGTGAAACAAGTAAGTTATATTATTATTACTTTGTTTATTATTTAGTTTAAAAATTAAATTTATCTTATTAGTTGAATTTAGGATTATTAAGGATTGTTATGAAATTATTATATCTTTTGGTGTTAGTTATAAATTTATTTTATTTGTTTAAAAATATATAAAGAAGGTCCAATTGGTTGTTAAGTCTTTCTATCAAATTGGTTTATTTGCAAGTATAAGAAAAAAAATGCCACATTCAAAAAGTAAAGAAGGTGAAGCTCCTAGTGATGATTATGGTTGAAGGTGGGGAGAACATGTTGAAGGTCATCGCAATAACGTTAGATACAAATTTTGTGATAAAGTTATTAAAGGAGGAATAACGAGATTGAAAGAGCATTTGGCTGCAAAAAAGGGAATGTCACACCTTGTCCAAATGTCTCGGCCGAAGTTAGAAAAAGCATTGCTCAACAACTGCATGAATTTCACAATGAAAAAGCTTTGAAGCAGAAGAGGAAATAAGAATTAGAGGAAAGAATAAGATTAGGAGATCATGGAAATTATGATAACAATGATTTTGAGGATGAAGAGTTGACTATTGCAAGACAAGAAAGTATAAGATCCAAAATGGAATGGGAAGAATGACAACGTTGAAGAGCAAGAACTGCTGAAGATTCAGTTAATGAACCTAGGGGAAGTGGTACTTCTGGATCTCGAGAATTCAAAAGATCATTCAATACCATTGAATTGCAAAAGCAAATCTAGGAAAAGCAATTTCAAAATTACTATTGCATGAAGCTTTATCGGCAAGAATTGCAGAGTCACCATTTCTATAGAACGTACTTCAAGTTGCAGCTGAAGTTGTAAATCAGTTAGGGGTCCTTCAGCTTATGAGGTGACAGGAGTGTATATGGAAGAAGTGTAATACCCCAAATAATAGGTCAGAGATTATTTTGAAAGGAATTAAAATTTGGAAGACTAAATTGAATAAGTGGTAAAGTATAAGAAATGATTTAAGTAAGACCAATTAGTAAGAAATGAAATAATGAAAGGGTATTTTGGTATTTTTGAGTGAAATGAAATTAAAAACCCATTTAAAGTTAGGGATTTAAGAAAAAGGGGAAAGTGAAAAACTAGGATAAGTCATTTTACTCTTCTTCTTCTTCCCGTGGTTTTCTGCTCTCCTCCATAGATCCAAAGGTAAACTTCAAATAATCAGTTTTTCCTTTCGATTATGGGTTGTTTTTGCAACCTTAGGTGTTATGTAAGCTTAAGAAAAGGTTATATAAGATTAAAACTATGGCATGGAGGAAATATTAGAGAATTAAGAAAATGGGTTTTGAAATGATATGTTAAGATATAAGTGTTTATTGATGATTATTAGTAGTTTTGACTTGTCAAAGTAGTAAATGAGAGATTAGAAGCATTGGATGAGTTTAAAAACAATTTAGAAAATATGGTGTGATTCTTAGACTCAAGTGAGCTTGAGAGATTTTAGATGTTTTAAGAAGCTAAATGAAGGAAAGTTAATAGGGATAAGTAGAGAAGAGTTTCATAGTATGGTTAGGGGTAAACATATGGAAATTTGATCAAATTTGGGTAAGATTCGGGTTGAAAAATGTAAAATCTGGGTAAGGGTATCAGTACTGATAGAACAATACCGATACTATAAGCTTAAAATCGATAGAATTTGATGAGTAGTATTGATACCGATTCAAGTGGAATCGATCCCAAAAGGGGAATATCGATACTATGAGAATGATATTGATACCATTGTTAACAGAATGCAAAAATGGTATCGGTACCGTAATATAGTATCAGTACCATAACATAGTAGTATCGATACCATAATAGGGGTATCGATACCATTGAGCCAGAAATTCTAAGATAGACTGATATTGTTATAGAAAACTTAATAATGCGTACTCTTGAGTAATGTTTGAGTAAATCGAAATCAAGTTCCCGAGTCAAGCAAAACGAAAGGCAAAGGCCAAGTACCCGAGTAATCAACTTTGTGTTTTGGATACAATAGCAAGGAAATCTAGGTGAGTGCATTTAATTATGTATGTATATGTTACGGTAGTCATAGATGTATGATTGATTGATATATGTATGGTGATTACCAAATGGTACTGAGTGTGTAAAAACTTAAGAAATTCATAATTTGTTTATGAATTTCCGTATGGGCACTTTATGTGTAAACTTAAGAAATTCATACTAAGTGGATGAATTTCCAT